TCAGCGACGGGCTGCAGGGCGGAGGAGGAGGAGGAGGAGAGAGGCGCTGCGTGGTTGTAGGGGAGGCCGGGAGCCCGCGGCGCCGAGGCCGTGGTCCTCTGCTGGGCTCGCTCAGCGTGCCGGAGAGCGCAGGCTGTGGCTGCAGCTCGGCGCTGAGCCCCTGCTTTGCCTTGCAGGTGTGAAATCTGTGGTTTCCAGTGCAGGCAGCGAGCGTCGCTCAAGTACCACATGACCAAACACAAAGCCGAGACGGAGCTGGAGTTTGCCTGCGACCAGTGTGGGAAGCGCTTCGAGAAGGCCCATAACCTTAATGTCCACATGTCCATGGTGCACCCTCTGACCCAGACTCAGGACAAAGCCAAGCCACTGGAGCCAGAGCCCCTTCTCCTCCTAAATACTTCAGGGACTTCAGAAAGCCAGGCGGTAAAGCCAGAAGTGACTGCACAGCAGGAGCCCACCTGAGGGGGACGGGGAAGCTTGCCCAGTCCAGCCCTATAGAAGTGGAGATTTTTAATCTACGTTTTAGTCTCCCCGCCCCCCACCCCCCAAAAAAAAACCAAACTCAGTGGAATTAGCTTCAGCTTGCTCAGAAAAAGCTTGTTACCATGCTGTGATTCTCCATGCTCACGTCTGATTCAGCAGTGTTGTACTAAGAGTCTGTCTAATCCCGGGGGGATGGATGTTCGGCAGCACCCCTTCGTGGTTCCCCCTTCTCCCCACGCGCACAGGTGTAGAAACAACGTTGGCCACAACTGTCCCCTGCCTGCACAAGCTGCTGCCTGTACAGAAGGGCCCTCGGGGGCCTCTGAGGGTACAGAGGACAGAGGAGCAACTACTTTGTTTTGGGGGAGGGAAAAAAAAAAAAAAAAAAAAATTATGATTCCCAAAGCAAGTCTAAACTGAAATTTGTAACCTACTTTTTATTGTAACAAGAGCTTCATGGTTATGCTTGTAATAAATTATTTACAAAGTAATTTGAAAGAAAGAGCACGGGGGAGAAAGGCCGCACCTTGTCTGTGCCTTCAGCCGTAGTCGCGGGCTGCTGCCCAGCTTGCCCTGCCCGGCGCTCAGAACAGGACCAGCTCCTCCTCCAGGTCGCCAGCCGCGCCCGAGTAGCGCAGGAGGGTGGCTCCCAGCTCCGGGTCGAGTTGGCCGCACCTTGTCTGTGCCTTCAGCCGTAGTCGCGGGCTGCTGCCCAGCTTGCCCTGCCCGGCGCTCAGAACAGGACCAGCTCCTCCTCCAGGTCGCCAGCCGCGCCCGAGTAGCGCAGGAGGGTGGCTCCCAGCTCCGGGTCGAGTT